TTACTCAAACGACTGTTACATAACAACTGCGAGTCCAAAATGGCTGAAACTTCGGTGAGTAACTGTCAACAGATGAACAACGAAATTCACTAGCTTTTATTTACAAGTGCTGCTATCTTCACGTTGAGGTCGGAAACTTTTCAGACCACCCTCGTATTTCAATAAAATTGTATTTCGAACCATTGTCTCGGTATTCGAATTACGATATAATGAATTTTCGGACAATTATCCCTGTTCCAAAATTTCGAGTTTTTAGTTTTTGGGGACAATGCATGTCCATCATTATTACGTGATCATAAAAGGATAATTGACATCACAAATTAGTAAAAACTGAAAATCACGTCACGTGTTGTCTGGGATAGACATCCAAAATAGGTATAGAAACGGCCTTATTTCGGACATTTTATGGATGTCCAAAGTTGTGCCAAACATACATCCTATGGACGTATATCGGATGTCCATGTGCTATCTGGGTATGAATGATAGGACACTAAAAATAATGTCCAATGTAGGTCCTTTTTTAAATATTCCAAGGACGTCCAAAATAGGTAAAAATGGACATTTTATGAACGTCCAAACTTGAACGTCCACTGGACGTCCATAAGATGTCCATGTGCTATCTGGGGAGAGAGATAACAGTATTAATACAATAAATATTAATGTAGAAGAACTTCCTATTTTTAACAATATGGAATTGAATATTTTTTATAATATAACTGGATATATATTGGGAGTGTGAATAAGTTCTCACCGTTTCACCATCAGATGGCGGTATAAAAATTTTGTGTGTATAATTCAAGATGATGACGCATCTATATTGAAGTTCTATAACCTATGTTTAAAATCAGTGCGTGTCTTTCCATTAACCTATAAAGAACATTTTCTTTTCGTTGCGTAAAACATGTCAAATTTCGTGCCAAATAAACCGTTTTTGCGGGGAATTTTACTGCATTACTTTATTCAGAAGAAATTTGCAGCTGAAGCACACAGAATTCTTGTAGAAACCTACGGTGATCATGCTCTGTCGGAAAGAACATGCAGAGATTGGTTTAACCGATTTAAAAATGGTGATTTTGATGTTCAAGATAGAGAACGCAGTGGTGCACCAAAAAAGTTTCAAGACGAAGAATTGGAAACATTACTTGCTGAAGATCCATGTCAGACACAATCCGATGTTGCAAAATCATTAGGAGTTGATCGAACAACAGTTTCGAAACGTCTAACAGCATTAGGAATGATACAAAAGAAAGGATCTTGAGTGCCATACGAACTGAAACCGAGAGACGTCGAACGGCGTCTTGTCACGTGTGAACAGCTGCTTCAACGACAAAAAAGGAAAGGTTTCTTACATCGTATTGTGACTGGTGATGAAAAGTGGATATACTACAGTAATCCCA